GTCGGGCGCTCGACGTACACGCTTTCAGCGTACCCACGATCAAGACGAACACCGCGCCCAGAAATCCATCGTAATTTGCGATCGCAACGGCCAGGCACACCAACATGATGAAACGGACGGTGCAATTTAGCTTCTCCCTCAGAGTCCCGCCAGCAAACGGTACGAAGTCGAGGGGACAACGGACGAGATCTTTCAGCGCATCCATCATGGCCGATTCTCACATATACGCAGATTTTCTTGATTTCGAGTAGGTCAAACGTCTATGAGGCACTGCGTGGGCATGGTCCACGCCGCGCCCCTCGAGTCCGATGCGACTTCCTTCTCGTCGAAATCTATGCGACACTGGACCCGAACCTCGTCCGGCGGAACGTCCAGAGTGACGGTCCTGCCCGTCGGCTCCCGCTTGCGCTTCTTGCCCTCTACGATCGCCAACAACTCGGACATGTGCTCTCGGTAGTACAGCACGTCGTCCCAAAAGGCGCGCGCCTTGGGTAGTATCTCGGCGAACCACTCTCTGTCCCTCTTCACCTCGATCACCGACATGATCTCGTCTTCCCAAAAATTCCTAGCTGGGCGGTATTGGACGAACCAGCAGGAGTCGGCGTCGCAGATCTCCATGCACAACTGCACGTGCAAGACCCTGGCATCGGTCTCGATCTTCGAGAGTTCTTTTCGGCGTACCGAATGGCATTGGCAGCTGAGGTTGGAAGTTCTGGATGTTTCGTCAGCAACAAAAGCCAGTGAGTCGGGTGAGCGAAACAGGACCCTTATCTGTGGGAAGTAGTAGCCGCTGATCTCGTCCACGATCGTCTTCCGATAGGGACACTTGATCTCCAGAAGCGCGAACTGCGTCCCGTCCGCGCTGCTGAGGAGTCCGTCCGGGCTGCCCCCGAGAAAGTCGTGAACGGGATGCCGCAACAGGCCCGCGTCGAAGTGTTTCCAGCCGGTCTGGTCACAGAACTTGGCCACGACCTCGTCCTCGAGCGAAGCGCCGTACTGCAAGGAGTCACGTCACGGCTCTACAACCCACCGAGGACCAACGAATCCTGCATCTTCAGGACATGCCTTTCTAGAAGTGGATCGGAAGGGAATAATCAGAGGAGCTCCGCATGCCGGTGCGATGGCCGGACTTACCGCCGTGGCCGCGTTGCCCTCGAAGCGCTTGCCGATGTTGCATTTTTTCAGCAGAAGGTCGAATTGCGACTCGTAAGGATTCAGGTGGATCGCCGCTGCCAAGTCGCTGGCGGTGAGCATCCCCTTACGCATCTGGAACCATTCCTCGCTCCTCTGAGCCGGCTGGGGGATGGACAACAGCTCTCGGACCCTCGGGTGTACGGTCTCTCCTCCCGTATCCATGCCGGCACGCTCTCATTGCCCCCTGGGGATGCAGAGAGCTTCCTTATGTGCATCGACTCCGGATCGGAGCGTGTACTCAGCCCCGCTCCGAAAGCGCGTAACCAGTTTTAGCTCCTACTCCGACCCCCTCACGACCGCCGCTCAAGACGACACACTGAAGTTGCCGATGGAGATCGTTGCGGTGGGCAGAATGCGCTCCAACAAGAATTCGACGATGGCCGACGAGAATGCGATCATCAGCAGCTCGTGGGTGTCGATCACCGCCCCGTACGCAGGCATGAAGCGAACGGCGAGCGCTACGAGGAAGCCCTGGAAGAGGAACTTGAACGCGGTCTTGATGATATTGCCGAGGTTGCACCCCGACGTCCTCCGGGGAACGAAGATCTGCTGAGGCACCGCGACGGCGGGTCCACGGAGGTTGGAGTCGGATGACATGGCGGACGCAAAATCCATGGGGCCTCTCGACAATGATACTTAATCAACAGAAAAAAAGTTGACCGCGTTCGTTCGCTCAGAATAAAAACTCCGCCGCCCTCAAGAACGGCGACGCTCCATGGCTCCGACCGACAAGAGGGTTTATCTGGACGAGGACCAGCTCAAGGTCCCGGGGTGCGCGTTCGTGCTCCTCAGTTTCGTGTCCCCCGAGAGCAATCAGAAATCCGAAAAATTTGGCCTAAAGGTCAGGGGTGCGTTCGCGACTCGAGAGGAGGCGGAGGCGCACGTGGAGCGCTTGATGAGGATCGACCCCAATTTCGACGTCTTCGTCGCCGACTGCTACCGGTGGCTGTTGTGCCCACCCAAGCCGGATGACATCTCGGACGAGGTCTACATCGATAGGTACCTGGACAGGCTCATCCAGACTCACAAGCAAGAGCAGCTGAAGGCCAAGGAGGCCTTTGAGGAGCACAAGCGTGAGATGATGTCGGCACCCAAGGGCCGGGAAGAGACCGAAAAGCCCAAGTCGTGGAGCGACATAGTCGATGAGGAAACGGAGGCGACGCCATCCGACCTGCTGAAAGAGTTAGAGCGCGGAATGTAACGCGGAAGCCGCGAGTATAATCGTTCAGTCGTGCTAAGATGGACACGGAAGACCCTACGGGGACCTGTCACCTGTGCCTGCAAGACTTCCGGATCAGAGACACCATCTTGCTCCAATGCGTCGGTGGTTGCTCGGTATGCATATGCCAAGCTTGCGGGCCGACTGCCTTTCAGTTTGGAAAGTGCATGTTCTGTCATGCCATGCTCGATTCCGTCCTCGATCCGCTCTCGAAGAGACCTCTCGAAGACCCTCGACACCCGTCGGCCACGCCGTGCATGTACGTCGGACTCCTAACGTTCCTGGTTCACTTGCTCACCCTGTACGCCCTACAACGCAGCTTTTAAATCGAGTAGTCAGGGTAGGGACTCGATATGAAGGACGACATGCAGTACGAAGTCATCCTGCTTCAATCCGCCGTTCAAGAGCTGAAATCGTTAGAGATGCGGAATACGATCAGGCTCCTGGGGGTCATCTTGATCCTCGCCGGTGTGCTGATATACGGCATGAAGACCATGCAGAACAGGACAGTTCCCGACGCCGTAGAAGAAGACCTTCCCCGCACGCCAAAGTCGGGCTTGGATCCTTCCCTGGCGGCTCTCGACGCCGCCAGCGCCGCCATGGTCGCCGCTAAGGCGGCTCGCCCGAAGATCGTCGTGAAATATCTGCCCACCCTAGATGACCAATTCGTGGACATCAAGAAGAGGCCCCTCCTCTCTAGCTACGTGTTGGGAGACATGTTCGACATCGCTTCCGTGCACCCGACCACCCCGGACATCGGCATCGGAGAGGTGGCGACTTTCAAGGGTCTCGTCGCGAAACCCGCTGCGACGTCCGAGTAAAACATCCTGGATGAGCATCGCATGACTCGGATGGAGTGGGGCCCCATGTTCTGCATTGCCGGTATATTCAGCATTTACCTTGCATTGACAAAGAT